CGCGTCGCCGTCGCAGGAGAGGCCGTCCAGGGGCAGGTGCAACAACGAGGCTGCGAAGGCCCGCTGCGCCGCCACCGAGGCGAGGCCTATCTACCGCTGGGCCCAGGTAGCCTTTCACCCAGGCGCGCAGTCGCTCTGGCGCGGACCGGGCCATGCAGTGGGCCGCGAGGCGCGCGAACTGGAGGGCCTGCGACCACCGGCCTCCTCCTCCAGGGCAGTGGCCACGAGCCGGCAGCGCCTCGCGTCCACGAGCTGGGCAGGTGGTCTCCTTGCGCCTGCGGGCCTCGCGGAGCCACGCCCTGCCTTCCCTGCTGTCAAATCGCGCTCGGTACCTGCACGTGCGTGTCGGGAGAGGTAGGTCCAGACGCAGAGGGCGCAGAGGAGGACGCGCAGCGCCGAGGGTGGAACGCCCGAAAGCTCGCTCGTGGGTGGGGCCGTGGACCCCCGGCCGGCGCAGGGGCCGCTCCGGTGGCGCATCAGGGCGCGCTTCTGGGCGTGCATGCGTTGCCTGATGCCGTCGCTGGCTCGTTCGTCTCTTGCTGGGGCCGCGAAGGCTACCCAAGTACTGCCAGCAGTGCGCCCGCTCGTGCCTCCCTCTGTTTTCTTTTGTCCCTTCCCCATCGGCGGCCACAGGTGGGACGCTCGCCGCGTGCTGCGCGCCGTGCGCGCCCAGCTCGCGGCCCCCCGCGGCGCCCCAGCGCGCCCCCCAGGGAGGGGACCGTCCAGGTGGCAGCTGGAAGCTGGCTCTGCGCCTCGGCTGCCTGGCTGAGGCCCAGGGGGGGCCTGGCCTCGCTTGCGTCGAGGGCCCTACCGATGTCCGCCGTGATGACTGGCGCCCGCGTGGGCCGCATTGGCAGACAATCCGCTCACGCCCAAGGCGCCACGGGCGGCGCAGCGACGGCCCAGGGCACCGAGACACAGCGAGAGCTGCGCGACTTCCCCGGTCCTTATTGTCGCCGCCAGCTGGTCTTCGGTGGCTCCCAGGGTTCGTGCTCGCCTTCGCCCTGTGCTCGTCGTGGGCCGCCGCGACCTCGAGCGTGTCCATCTCGGTGCCCGTGTGCGAAAGTAGAGGTTGGCCTGCGGGTGGGCGCAGAGGCGCAGGTGTAGCGGAGGTCGCTAAGGCTGCACAGTGTGTGCAGCAGCACGCGCTGGTCCGCGAGAAGGTGCGAATGCCTTGGCAAACAAGCCGGGTACCCGACAGTCGTCCCCAGGAGGTGGCGTGTCGCTGTCCCCCACCCACACACTGTCCTGGTCGAGTACAATAAACCTCTCTGATTCTTGGTGGCTCTTTTCCTGCCGCGTTATACATCTTTTCCTTGCCCCTGGTGGCGCTGTCCACAGTGCCTCTCCAGCGCGTGCCGGACTGGGCCGACTGCCTCCTGCGACCGCGCCGGTCAAGCAGGAACGCAGGCAAGAGGGCAAATCACCGCCCCTCTCCGCGAGTTCTGTGTTGCACTTTTCTGGCTGTTTCACGTGCCCCTCTTGGCAATATCTGTGGACCGACCGCGCGTGGCGGGGACGGCGACACCGTGGAACAAGCAGAGGGGGCGGAGCAGGCCGCCAGGGAGTGCAGGCACACCACCTCCTCTCCCAGATCCTGGCTTCTGGCGTGGGCGGTGGCCTAGACACCCTTCGCTGAGAAGGGGGTCGCGCCCGCGCCTCCGCGCGCACCCCCGCGCCACGCAGCGGCTGCGAGCCAAGGCGGCCGTGGCCTGTCAGGCGCTCCGCGTGGCTGCGGGAAGCAGCCGCGGACCTGTCCCCGCGGCCCCTCTCTCCTCCGAGTCCCGTGGAGCTCGGGGGGCTCCCCTCGCCCGCCTGCTGCGGCGGCCCGCTAGAGCGCTAGGGCTCCTCCAACAGCTGGCCGCCGCTGGCACGGCCGCGCTCTCGAGGCGGCCGACGGGCAGGCTTCACCGCGGGGAAACGGCGAGTGTGCGAAGTTTGACCTGTGCTGTCCCAGCGCGTCGCCGAACTGGGCGCCCTCCTGCAAGCGATTCTGGTTCGGACGCTGGGGGCCTGCGTGGGTGGGGCGTCGAGGCTCCTGCCTCTACGAAGTTGGGCTCGCCGTCACTTGTTCCCACTCCAACTTTCCGACCTCTCGTGTGGACTTGTCTACCGGGGTCGCGCGCCGTTTGTAGGGCCCCTCGCGCAAACTTGTCTACAGGAGGCGCCCGAGACCTGTCTCGTGTACTTGTCTGCAGGGGTGGCCCTGTCCAGGCTGGGCGAGGCTTGCCCCATGGCGCGGGAGACAGCCAGAACCGGAGCACGAAGCGGGTTGGCAATGTCGACTTCGTCGCCTCCTCCCAGCAGGGGCGCGGGTGGCGCACTCCAGCGAGGCTGCCGCAGCCCCGCAGGGAACTGCACATTTCACCGCTGGGGCTCTCGCCCCCAGAGCTGGTGGCATGATCCTGCCAGCCCTCCTTGGGCCTCCAGTCGGGTATCATTTCACCTACGTGGCCGCTGCGCAGTCTCAGGTTTGGGTGGGTGCTCGTTGCTCCCTCTGCTTTCTCTCCCGATTTCTTCTTGTTGGCACCCCTCACTCCCGGCACCTGTGTGGCCCCAGGGTCTGCGAAAGCTGTCACGAACACAAATCCAGTCGGCCCCCCTCGACAGATTATCCCCCAGGCCACTGCGGAGCACGGGTCCACAAGGACTTTGCCGACTGTTGGGGGCTTCTTCAGAAGTGGCCCCCGGCGGCGCCTTTTATCGAACACCGTCCCCGGGCTTTGCTTGGGAGGAGGCTTGCGGTGCAGCCGGGGTTCCCAAAGCAAGCAATTTTGACAGCTGGGGTTTGAATTTCGCGGTTGAAGAAGAGAGCCGTGCGTGGTCGCCGCCCCAGCAACCATTGCGAGGTGTTCGCGCGTGGCAGGCTGAGCTGGCTGGGCGCGATGTTCCACCGTGTCTGGGCGCTTCTGCCGTGGGCGACAGCATGTCCGTGGATTTTGCCGGCGCAGGCGGGCCACGAGGGTGTGCGGAAGAGCTCCAAAGCCTTCTGCTCGCAGGAGGTTGCGGTCCATTGCCCGTTATATTCGGGATGGCCCTGTGTCTAGATGGGGGGCATTGACAATCCCACTGGCTTTCAAAAGCTTGCCTGGCCCGGGTCCGCGTCTCGTCCCTGCGAGCTCTTCCTCTGTTGTCGTGGGGGTGCCCCCGTGTGGGTCTCGTTCAGCACCCAAGGGAGCAGGCTTTTTCGGCGACTCACACGGTCGACGTTGTCGACGTCGACGTCGAAGTCGACGTCGTCGTCGTCGTCGTCGTCGTCGTCGTCGTCGTCGTCGTCGTCGTCGTCGTCGTCGTCGTCGTCGTCGTCGTCGTCGTCGTCGTCGTCGTCGTCGTCGACGTCGACGTCGACGTCGACGTCGACGTCGACGTCGACGTCGACGTCGACGTCGTCGTCCGTCGTCGTCGTCGTCGTCGTCGTCGTCGTCGTCGTCGTCGTCGTCGTCGTCGTCGTCGTCGTCGTCGTCGTCGTCGTCGTCGTCGTCGTCGTCGTCGTCGTCGTCGTCGTCGTCGTCGTCGACGTCGACGTCGACGTCGTCGTCGTCGTCGTCGTCGTCGTCGTCGTCGTCGTCGACGTCGACGTCGACGTCGACGTCGACGTCGTCGTCGTCGTCGTCGTCGTCGTCGTCGTCGTCGTCGTCGTCGTCGTCGTCGTCGTCGTCGTCGTCGTCGTCGTCGTCGTCGTCGTCGTCGTCGTCCAGGCACTGGCAGCAGTATCGTGGCGAAAGACAACCAGAGGCAGTAGTGAATAACGCGTTGTCGCTGCTCCTTTTGGTGGGCGACGCCACTCGTGATGGGGCGTGACGCAAAGGGTGGCCAGGAGGGGGGGGGGGCGCAGGCGGCAGGTCTCACTGGGACCGTCCGTGGCGCGGGGCAGAGAGGTGTTTGAGACGCAGGGGGGGGCGGTTGCACTGGCGCCTTCGATGGATCTCTCGAGGGGGCAACAAAATGTGTTACTGGGTGTGGCGGGCGCCAGCAGGCAGGCGTACTGGGACCTTCGTTGGAGCCCCTCCGGGGGCCACGAAAGGCTGTGCTGGATATGGGTGGCGCCTGCGGGCAGTGCCACTGGGGGTGTCGCTGGGGCCCCCAATGCTGGGCGCTGGGTGTGGTGGACGCTTGCGGGCGGAGCCGCTGGGGCGCTGGACACTGTGCTGTGTGGCGGAGGCCCTCGGGCGGTCCCACTGGGACCTTGGGGAGCGTCCCATGAAGCCACGAAGCGCTGTATTGGGTTTGGCGGACGCAGGTGGGTGGTCCCATTGGGACCTTCGGTGGGCCCCCCCTACCTTCCGACCTACCTACCTACCTGCCTGTCTGCCTACCTACCTACCTACTCACCCA